CTTGCTTCACCGAATCGGTCGAAAAGATTTCAACCCGACGGGAGCCGTAAAGTTATGCGAGGCAGGTGCTCTGTATACTCATTAGCATGCCAAAAGACAGCTGTTTAGATTGAGTTATGCATCCCATTCCACCGTAAACGCGAGCGATGTAATAGCGAGCACAAAATCGCCAACTTGGCATATACACGGACGTTCGTGCCGTGGAAGTCAAGGCCCCTACGCACAGTTGCGTTTGAGAGCGTTTGACCGCGTTGCGTCGAGAAACGAAAGCGAGTCACCGGCACATCTGTGCTTCGTATGAAGCGTGGAATCCAATTCAATGAATTGCGTGGCATGCGGTAATATAAATATGGATGTCCTGCGTTCTCGCTGTCGCAACGCAGTGAAACGCTCTCAAACGAAACTGTGCGTAGGGGCCTTAAGTCATTCAAAACTGCCTGCTTCTTCTCGTGCTTGTCGCATCGGCGTCGCTCTCAATTACTGGTGCGTCCGGAGTACGCGCTCTCGTCAAGTGTTACGTGCGTGCTCGCGTACCATACTTTGTGTCGCACACATAGCTTGCAACGCTGCCGCGCCTGCGAACTCGAGCATGTGGATGTATCTATACTCCGTTCCAATATAAATGCGAGCGCAGCCTGTGCGACGAGCACAGCCTGTGCCACGAGCACGACTAGGTTTTCTCTGACGACGCTCTTACTGGTCGAGCGTGTGTGCTTAGCCCGCTCAAAGTGCGTTCGCTCTCGTAGCGGTAATAGGGTCTCCTTCGCTCGCAGTCTTCTTGAAACAAAAACACAAGCAAATAAAACATTTGAGATCAACCCTACACACGAGCCAGCAGTTTTGACAGCGCGCAAACTTCACGTGCAGGTCTTTGGCAGGCTAACCTAGCATCTGCAGAAACGGGCGTTTGAGGTTGCGTTACACGTTGTGCTCTCGATTATCTTTAATCTATTACAGGACCACTTCAGTATCGACCAATTCAAAACACTAATCATGCAAAACAAAGGACAGCGAAAAATTGAGGAAAGATGCTCTCCCAAACATTCCTTTTTTCGTTAGCTTCAACCATGAGAGTAAACCAACACTGCAAGGGAACTGGAAATGTAAATGGTATGTACAAAATCTCACAATATATATATATATATATATATATATATATATATATATATATATATATATATATATATTGTTTTTCTTCAGTGAGACACGTTGGATCAGTTTTATTATACAAATTTGATGCACAAACTGATGATTTTGAATGCCTCTTTTACAAAATGCACTTCCATTTGTTTGTTTTGGTTGCCTCCATAAAGTCCCCGAGGCACCCCCAGCGAAACCTTAATAGTACACCACAAGGTAGTGCCCACAGTACTCAAACATCCCTGGGACAGACTGCTGCAGCAGCCGCAGCTGCTCTTTAGTTTGGCTGTCCGATACTGTTTCGTGGTCGACCGAGGCCTATCTACCACTAGTGCCATCTCTGTCCATTCTAGGAGTGTGTGTACTCTCGAGGGCCCCCAGCAAGGTCCAAGCTGAGCTTTTCCCTCGGGGCAATCTGCCGCAGTGACCACAGCTGTTCTTGAGTTTGGCAGTCTGATACTCTTTCCAGGTCAACTGAGGTTCGCCTGCCACTAGTTTCGGCTTTGGCGATTCTAGGCGAGTGTGTCCTCCTGAGGCCCCCAGCAAGTTCCAAGCGGTGCTGTACCGAACCTAACTTTCCCATCTTCCTCAGAGTAGCCTGGTTCGGCAATCCCCCCCCCCCCCCCCCCCCCCCAAGCTGCTGGTGAGTTTAGCACAATGATACTGTTTCCAGGTCGACCGAGGCACACCTACAACGACTGTTGTCTCTGTTCATTTATTCATTCTAGAAGTATGTGCCGTCCCATGGCTGCCCGAGCAAGGTCTGAGCAGCGCCCTACAGGCCCTTGCTTCTCCAGCTTGTCCTGGACAGATTGCCGCAGCAACAACTGATGAGTTTTCATTTTCGACTGCTGTTTATTTCCTGGCAGAGTGCAGACAGTTACACACTGCTACTTACATCCGATCTTACTGTCTCACTGTCAGCCACTTAAGAAGACTAAAGTAATAATCTTTTTTTTTTCAGGCACACTGTTTACACTTGGTATCAGGCAGTATCCTCAGAATGCCAGTTTTTCTGGTGAACTGATGAATAACAAAGAGCTACAAGGAACTATATTCAATGAAGATAGAACTGATATTGACGCAGTGACAGGAGTATCAGTTGCAACGTAAAGGGAACAATTTACAATTTGGACTTAAGCGCTTTTTCGTTGCAGATCAACTTAAGTGTCTCGAAAAGTTCACTATGAAGGGGACTGGATGGAGTAAACGGATCTTCGAGAAAGTTTTCAGGATTCACCTTTCATGTGTTTCCCATGTTTTCAATGTGGTACTGGGGAATTGGGGTAGCTTTTGCCTGTAGAATGCACACTTCATTGCCATCTACAGGACTTCCGAGCACAAGCTGGTGGATTCTTTAGCATACAAGGCATAGAGTAATATAGTGGAACGTAAAGAGTGGCCACTCAAACCCTATCGCGGCCCAGGAAGTCGGTTTCACGGCAGCCGCCAGCTGGCGCCAAGGTGACGAATTATTTATACATTTGTTATATTTTCACCGTTCATAAATTGTTCTATCTTAATTTAAAAAATTTAAAAATTATTAGTAGCTTCGAAGGTTAGAGAAAATATTCCAATAATTGCAACTTCCGCTTGGGCAAAACGCCGCCATAACGGCAGCCTGGGTGTTGGGCTCGGTGGCTCGGGCAATCTACCACTGTTCCTGTCGTTCCTGTCGTCACGTGGATTTCTCGGTGTTCGCTTCGTGGAAAAGGTGAGCCATTTCAAAACACTATTACGCAACCACTTGAGGAGTGTTTCACGGGTCTGTTGGGCGTCAGCGTCTTTCGGGCTTGCCGCTTTTCTCTGTAACATAGCGTGAAATGCAGCAGGGCAGAAGCGTCTGACGCTGCAAACACGTACGCGTTGTCTTCAGCGACGCTGATTCCAGCTTTCACTTCTCAATCGCGCGTGCATTACATGCTCATTTAAAGCGTCGAGCTCTCTCTCTCTCGTAGTTGTTTCTTTCCTGGCACTTACGGTGAAATGGAGCACACAGTTTCTGCGGGGGCCGAGAGTCGGTGCCGCCAAAGAGAGGTCCTGAGACACTTCGCTCAATGTGGTGTGGTTTCACCTACTCGCATGGGTTTTTCGCTCTTTGCGTGAGGTTTCCTTCTTCTTAATGTTGAAAGTACATGCCGCAGCACCATGCTTTTAATTTGATCTGGTCGAGAAGAGCCAGCTCAAAGAATTTAAATCACAGGTGAGCAAGGCATCCGATCATCTGCGTAATTCGGTGCACCTTGCGCGCTGGTGTATGCTGGAGTACCATAGGGAACTATAGTATCATAAGGCGCCGAAGCATTGGTTTCACGTCGTCCGAGTTGGTCTATACTAACATGCAATTCATCTTTTTATTTAAGGGTGCTGTTCGTGCACCGTGGTTACCTCTTGATTTATACAGTACGAACTTGACCTTGTGTTTTGTATATTAGTACAGTTTATTGTGTCATGACCAGCTCCCTTTTCGTAGGCACATCGAAATCTCACGGCGCCAATTCTGTAAATTTTCTTCTGCAGCGCATGCCGTCGAAATGCCCAGCTGCGGTAGCTACTGCTGCGTAGCGTGGTGCGGTAACAACGGAAGAACGTGCAAGAAACCGGGAACAAAGTTTTTCCGGGTTCCGCGGGACAGCAAGTAGCCATGGTTTCCATCTGTCTTTGTTTTAAAAACTTACTGGATGACTGTTCAGCTGTCATAGCGAAAAAACAGAAAGTTTGTTTCTTCAAAACTAGTTTCAAAGCTCTAGTAAGGGAAAAACTTGGGCGAGTTCTTTTGCATTCTGATGATTAAAAACAGTGCAGGCGAGACGAAGGACCAGAGCTCTGGAGTACTCGCAGAACCTTTGCTCAAACTACACTAAGGTGGTTAAGTAACACAGTCACTTACCAGCCGTAAAATTGTTATCTATTTCATTTTTCTTAAAACTGTACTTCGTAATCTCACACATAGCCTGTACTTATGAGAAACTCATGTATAGGACACTACTGTGTGTTTGCCTTCACATCAGCACAGACGTAACACTTCACTGAATATATCATGAACAAAAATAGTTGTCATTGAAAATTTCTGTTCTTTCTGTGACATCCTGTAACTTTGAAGGAACAAATAAAATTATATATCTGTGATGAAGGAACAGAGGCATTCCTGTTAAACAGCGATGGCCTATCTATTAACCGCCTCTTGCAATTTAAGGTTTTAGTCATCTTCAGGCATTTATATACCTGTACTACATGTCACAGGTCTAAAGCGTGGGTCGAGTACGCCAAGAGACATGACCTCATGGACAAACCGGCGGCGCGCCTATATGCAAGCTACTACGTGTGCAGCGACCACTTCACTGTACACGACTTCATGGACCCTGGACGAACGAGGCTCACAAAAACAGCAGTGCCCAGTGTTCTTCCACTAGAACACTGGCAGTCTGTCATATGTCGTGGTAATGCTTTATTCACTTCCCGATGTATGCAAAATATACAAGTAAAAAAACTTGACTTAATTGTAGCTCTACTTTTGCTGCTTCGTAAGCTCTGACATTACTCTTATTTCTATCTAGCATCAGTGGTATGGTCACGTTTAGGCGATGCTGTCATGTTTGCGCATCTGCATCACAATAGCGTGTGTTCACTTAGTCTCAGTATCATTGGTTTGGAGCTTCATTAGCTCCGAACCTTCCCATAATCTAAAAATGTTTTGTTTCAATGTCCAGAACGTGTTGACTGCTGTGTTACACCCCCAACACTGCTGCTGTCGTGTCCAACATTTTGTTAATTGCAGGTGACTTCATCTTGTTTCTAATAGCCGAATTTTTGCAGACCTCGTGGATGCCAGCACCTCGCACAGCACGCCGTCGGAGAGCCAGCCGGTCACCCTGTCCAGAGCAGCTCATGGTGAGGAAGCAACTCTGTTTGAAGCAACAACTTGTTTCTGATAACAAACTTCTTGCAGATCTCGCGGAGGCCAGCACCTGGCACGGCACGCCTTCGTACAGCCAGCTGGTCACCCTGTCCAGGGCAGCTCCTGGTGTGGAAGCGATTCTGTTTGAAGCAACAACTTGTTTCTGATAACCAAATTCTTGCAGATCTCGTGGAGGCCAGCACGTCGTATGGCACGCCTTCGGACAGCTAGCCGGTCACCCTGTCCAGGGCACCTCACGGTGAGGAAGCGACTCTATTTGAAGCAACAAATTGTTTCTGATAACCAACTTCTTGCAGATCTCGCTGAGGCCAGCACGTCGCACGGCACGCCTTCGGACAGCTAGCCGGTCACCCTGTCCAGGGCAGCTCACGGTGAGGAAGCGACTCTGTTTGAAGCAACAACTTGTTTCCGATAACCAACTTCTTGCAGATCTCGTGCAGGCCAGTGCCTCGCACGGCGCGCCTTCAGACCTCAGCCCAGTGACACCATTCTCCTCTGCCAGCTCTGAATCAGCCGAGGCTTGTAAGTGTCTACTTTTCTTTGCCTATATGGATGCCTCTATGCTTTTCATCAGTAAGATTCTTCTGTGCAAATGGAAAGTTGGTGTTGCTTCTGAATATCCTTAGTTAACAGGCATTAATGAAGTAAAAGTTTAAGACTAAAAAAATATAAGGTTTTGATATTTCACATTGTATAAATATAATGCAGAGTTGAGTGTACAAGCTCAACTCTAAGGCCACATATATTGTTCGTCAGCTGGCTAATATTCTGTTTCTTGGTTCTAGCTATTTCACGCGCTTCCACGCCCAGTTTCCGCAAGTCAGCAGTGAGACCTAAGGACGTCATAACGCGTCTTCAAGCCAAGGTCTCGAGCTACAGGAAGGCCGCCACAAGACTGCGGAAGCAAGAGCAGAAGGTGCCTCAGACAGCTACGGAAGCCCTCGCCATGATTCGCCCTCATGTCACTGAGGAGGTATTCCAGCTGGTGTCAAGTCATGTGAAACTGAGGTCTCGGCTGGCATATACGCTTTATTAACCGGAATTCAGGCAGAGTTAGGCTCCAAACTTGCGTTTCTGGGGCACAACTGGTGAAGTTTAAAGGGTAGCATAAATCTAAACATGCGTTTAGCATTAATTTTGCATTTTATTACATATGTGTTACAGGTGCGAAGAAAGTTTTATTTGTGCAGTGCAAACCGAGTGTCAAGCATTTTTGGTATTACTTTTTTAAGGCTGGGTCGCAGGCCACCGGGCTATATTGGTGAATGTCTAATTTCAAAATCATTTGTCTTTGTATTTTTTATGTATGGCCATGTTGGATGGGAGAGTTGTCATTTTTCTATTATGCATAGTCCTGTCCATTGGTCACGCAACTTGGGTGTCATTGGGCCTTTCCTGGTCCTGTTCACAATTGCTGCTTTAGTTTGATGTGCAGCTTGTACATAGGCAAGAAGAGTCATTGTTTGGACAAGAGCCGCGGGCTAGCCATGTTTTGAATTGCAATTTTATTTTGTGGGGGGAATCTGCAGGTGTGGAATATACAAGGATTTGTTTTTGCAAGATTGTTCCTTATGATAGATTCGACGGAATTTGTAGATAACAGATTGTTAAATAATGATTTGTTATGCTAAGAGTCTTTTTGTGCCCTAATAATTGATACTATAAGTTTTTGTGCGCTAACAAGGCAGGCATTTTACACGGCGAGCTACTTAGGAGAATATGTTTGTGTGGGCACACAAACAAATTTGTGTGGACTCTGAAGACTATACCACTACCCTGTGTGTGGACTATAGTCCGGAAAATACGGTAATTAACAGAACGGTGCACACTGCACGCCGAGCATTTCCAGATATAATTTGTAATGACCAGGTTGCAGGCCACCAGTCGACCAGTCTTTACTAGCGTCTGCAAAACCACTTGACGTGTGTTTTTTTCTAGTGTGTTCGTGTTGAATGTTTCTTTATGGGTATGGATCTTCGTATTGGGTCACCCGGCTTTGGTGTCAGTTGTGAACTTTTAGATGTTTCCTCCCTCAAACCTTTACAAAAAAAGCTGATGAGGTTTTTCTGAAAAATATTCTTTGTAACACGTCCTGAAACAAGTGCAAAAATAATTTTCACAGTCTTCTGTTTATTTTTTATGTAAAGTAGCTATTTTTTATGGTTATCTTCGTGGCCAAATAAAAATTTTAATATTTGTTAATTGCTGCCTTCTGTTGGTTGTCCTGTTTTTCCTGTTCCGTGACATAGTTTTATATTTCATATTGGGATTGTACATGGTTACCTCGTTACCTGTCTGTCCTGAATTTGTAAATGAATTTAACCGTGCTTTTGAGTTGTTGAATGCACAGCTCAAACGCCCAAGTAAATTCTAAATTAGCAACCGTAACTAAAATTAAAATTGGAATTAAACTTGAGGAAGAAAACAAGAAGGACGGACAACCATAGTTGGAAGTTTGTTGGACAGGCTGTCCGTCCTTCTCGTTTTCTTCCTGAAGTTTAATTATCTCTTACCAACCCGCTCATTCTGGCCTTAAAATTGTAGTTAGTCCCGACAACCTAGGTGGCGCAAGCTACCGCACAATAACGTTGGGAGCACTAATATTAGTTATCCATCCATTTGACTAATAGTATTCTGTGACTCTATCCATGTTGAAAAACGAAACCGAAAGCATCCAAACAGGAAGTCGAGAAACATTTCACGGCGGCCGCTAGGAGCGCTGGTAGTCGAGTGGGCCGCTTGGGTCTATTGGAGTGGCCACTCTTTACGTTCTACTATATTACTCTATGTACAAGGTGAGCCATCCTTATCTTAAGTATGTATCTGAAGTCGGATATCTGCCGACCCGTCTCATCAAGCAGCTCGATGTTTAATTCCTTGTGGTTTGTACAATTTATTGTCTACAGGTGTACCGTACCAGTAACTGCATTAGAATGTGTAAGGCCTTTAGAAGTATTTTATGTAAAAGTGACTGCAGCTGTCAGTAAAGCTACCCGCACATTTGTGAACTGTTGAAAGGATGCTTCAACGAAATTTAAAATATTCCCGTCGTGTTCAAAAATAGGTTGAATATGATCCACAATATCCGTAAATGACAATCGCATGTTTGTACTTTGAGCCTGGTGGCTGTATTTTTTGTTATAAACGGCCCACTCTGCCAAGTGCTCAGAGAAGGCCCAGCGGAGACCACGTGACATCCAACGCAATCGTGACGTAGGTCGTCTCAGTACGAGCAAACCTACGGCGAGGCTGACGTCGAGAGGATGGCCTAGTCGTTCCAGACACCGAAGTGGCTGCTTTTGTACGAATTTTGAGTGACGGGTTAATCTTCTGTAATCTTGTAGGGGGACAATAGCGACTTCTGCGACTCACAAAAGGCATTCTCGGGAAGAGGGGAGTTCCTCCTGCCCCTCTTCTCTCGTCGTGGCCGGAGGCGAGGCAACCTCCGTCACAAGCTGTCAAAGTTCGTAGACGGGCATTACAAGCGAGGCATTAGTGACATCCACCAGGTGCTCTTTGCTAATCATTTAATTCGTTTTAAAATTCCTTTTCGTGACTTTTTTAACAAGATATTAGTATCTTTGATGTGATGCTGCTTCTTTGAACACATATAGACCAAAAAATGAGCGCCGAAATTTCGTTGTAGTATCCCTTTAAGAAAGCATTTTGTTTTTGTATGGTGTGTCTCTGTGTCATTTATCTTCTTTTCTCATTCTGTGATCTCTTTTGTGTTCTTCTTGTAGTGAATGCTCCTGCCGTGGCCTTTTACTTGGCTGGCAGTTTTGTGAAATAAATAAAATTTTGAGTTTGATTTTGCTCTTTTTAACATCATCTGTGCTCTTGTATTTTCAAGGAGATTTTGATGTCGCATTCGCTTATTTTGTATTACTCTCTGGGTGTCATTTGAATTATTTTTGCCTCATTCCCTTTTACTGAAATAACCAGCAATTGCTTGACTCGAGATCTAGGTGCTGAGACCGAGCGCTAGTTTCCAAGTCTGCACCAGGACGCTGGCTCAGGAGTCTAAAAGCAGCGTAAATAGTAATTAAACCTGGATATTTTTAGTAAGAACGAATAAAAGAAAAGATACAGACACTCTGACAAAATTACAGAGTAACAAAACTAAACGAAAACGGAGTTTTCATTTCTAAAAACGGTTTCATCAAATAAAATAACGAAAATTATACGCTCGGAAAAGTAGCGGCACCGCGTGGCCCCGTAGCGAAAGGCCCGTGGTGTCGCTAATTTTTACAGCATGCGCAGAAATACGTACCGATTTTTATCATTACTAGTACTGCATGCAGCTTAAAAGTGCTAGCTTAGCATCATCCACATCAACACTTCCCCAATTAGAGAGAAAATAGTATCTTGCTTTCTAGGCCAGCAAATTGTTTTTAGCGCCCTTAGGCCGAACCCTCCCGAAAGCTCGCCCAGGACACGTATTAAAATGTAGTCAATAATTTGAAATCGTGGAGAATAAAATTGCAATATTGCGGTTTTATATGATGATTCAAAACTACTCGCAATTCCTGTGAAGGCGAACACTCACGAGACACTCCCCTAATGCAACTCGGTAGGGACGATTATCCGAAGTACATTCGGGATGCACGGTTGGACGAACAGATCTAGAGCGACTTCAGGACGGTCCGATACGAATGCGGGCTCTAAATGAGGTCATGCCACACTTGTCTAAATAGAAACGTCCACACTATCGACAACTCGCCCGCTCCAGCTGTGAAGCCGAACACTCACGAGACACTCACCTAATGCAACTCGGTAGGGACGATTATCCAAAGTACTTTCGGGATGCACGGTTGGACGAACAGATCTAGAGCGACTTCAGGACGGTCCGATACGAATGCGGGCTCTATATGAGGTCATGCCACACTTGTCTAAAGAGAAAAGTCCCCACTATCGGCAACTCGCCCGCTCACGCTGTGAAGCCGAACACTCACGAGACACTCACCTAATGCAACTCGGTAGGGACTATTATCCAAAGTACTTTCGGGATGCACGGTTGGACGAACAGATCTAGAGCGACTTCAGGACGGTCCGATACGAATGCGGGCTCTAAATGAGGTCATGCCACACTTGTCTAAAGAGAAAAGTCCACACTATCGGCAACTCGCCCGCTCCAGCTGTGAAGCCGAACACTCACGAGACACTCACCTAATGCAACTCGGTAGGGACGATTATCCAAAGTACTTTCGGGATGCACGGTTGGACGAACAGATCTAGAGCGACTTCAGGACGGTCCGATACGAATGCGGGCTCTAAATGAGGTCATGCCACACTTGTCTAAATAGAAACGTCCACACTATCGACAACTC